CTTAAGAACACTAAGAATAACAACTAAACTCACTTAACAGCCTTCATCAGAAAAGTTTAACTCCATTCACAGACTGTTTTGGTCAACTTAAACATTTTAGTTTTCAACACTGTATTAGGTGCAAACAGTTCAGGTTCATACCTTTACAATGACTATTTGCACATCTCCATACGATTTTTCTACGGTTTATGGTGATTTTTACAAAACTGCCTATCATTTCAAGAACAAATCCGGACCAGTCTGTGATTATGGACTTTTCACACAAGTGGAAGTCACTAAAAATCATGAGAAAATTTATGAACAAACTAGACAAATTTTCTAAACTCTCAGAATTTACGGATTTTGATTTCGACCTTTGATGATTTTTCTATAAATTTTCTAAGCACATGAATAGAAATATTATCACTAGAAAAATGCCATCAATTTCATTCACACCTTGTAATTTGTTGAGCAAGGTGTGTATCATTATGTGATTATATATTATTACATTATATGTCATTTTGCCTTGGTATGTAGACATACATCAGAAAACAAATAGGTTTTTACTATATTAAGTATGGTGAAATGATAAATTGTCATAAACAAAGTTTACATCCGTTACATACAAACGTTTAGTAAGCCATGACAAGAATAGTACTAATTGAATACATGTGAATGATAATACATATTATTTACCTTATCTTGAAGGTATGAATCGTATACCAAGGTTGCCACTACTACAAGTAATTATAATAAACTATAATAGGTGTACACTACCAACAAATACGCTAACTATAGTAGGTATAGTTAGGTTGCATTACATTACAAACAATATGATAAACTATAATGGGTATAGTTTATGTTCACTATCACTACCACTATTTGATAAACTATACTATGCATAATTCATGTTCACTATCGCTACCACTATTCGGTGAATTATGATATGTATAGTTTATGTTCACTCCACTACCACTATTTGATAAACTATAATATGCATAATTCATGAGCACTATCACTACCACTATTTGGTGAATTATGATATGTATAGTTTATGTCCACTACCACTACTTGATGAATTATGATAAGCATAGTCTCGGTCTTTGGTTTAAGACTACATTCTATCTAGCATTGTTAGTTTTCAGCCATAATTATTAAGTGTATATGCTAGAGTTATATAGAATTTAGTCATGATCGACTTAGAATTGGTGGGCCCACCTCATCTCCTGTTCCTTGTTTGGTTGTGGACCTAGGGCAGACCCCTATATTCAACGGTTTATTTAACTTAAAATTTTATACAACTTATATACACTTAGAGATTATAGAAGGAAACTATAGGAAATTCTAGCATGCACTATTTATTAATATAGAAACTTACGATTCACTCTTTAAGGAAAATATCGGATTTTCTTTGGAAACACCTTACTAGTATGAACATATTAAGTACAAAACACACACACACACATTTTCGGTCCTGGGATTTAGGACTACATAACTTTTATAAAGAAAATATTGGATTTTCTGGAAACATACTTTGTCGCTTTTACAAGGAAAACGGTTTCTTTCTCCAACAAAACTCTTATGAACTCACCAACTTAATTGTTGACACTTTTCAAAACTACTTGTATTCTCAGGAAATCAGTGAAACAGGAAAACATCAGCACTTTGAGGATGGGACGTTAAAGCGTCAAACAGTTTATTTTATCATCATAATGTAATTGATTTTGAAACATGTACATATCTATGGTGAACATTTTCAATTATATTTATGATGGTTGTATTTACTTTGAGCACTATTATACTCGTTGTTGTGATACTTTACATGAAGTCCTCCACCCCCGGACGTTTCCGCCATCCTTGGTTTGGGGGTGTGACAATCTCTTAGACCCCTCTCATTCTAAACATCTCCTCTATCTGTTCTCTCTGAATTTTTCAGTGAAGCCTTAGATTCAAAGGTGGGGTGTTTGTGTTTGATCTCTAAGAAGAACATGAGTTTGGTTCTTAAAGGTGGGGATTTTCGATAAATCGAGATTTGTAACATCTCCTCCAACCCTTCTATTCTAACCTCTCAGTTGTAATTCAACCATCATCGGTTTATCAGCTCATCACCGGTTCATCTCCATCCCATCGAAATCATCAAGGTTTTCTAGGGGTTTTGTGGTAAATTGAGATTTGGGATTTTAAGCTTCATTCATCAAGTTTTATTTCATCAAGGTTTTATGCGTTAGGTATTTGATTTCATAATTTGGTTTTGATTTCAACAAGTTTTTCAATGGCAATGGTTTAGAGTGGTTTTAAATTTTAGTGTTTTGGTACTGCGTTAAGTATTGTTTTGGATATACGGGCTTGCAGATGATCATTCTTCATTAAAGTCTTGTAGATGAGCATTCTTCATCACAGATAATCTCATCGTCATCCATCTTTAGTCACATGGTTTCAATCTTAATACCGTTTATTTAGGTTTAGGTTTTGCATTTGTTTTAGGATTTAGTGTTACTATTTATGGTTATGAAATGAGTGTTGATGTATTTGATTCTGTAATTTATGATTAAGAATCCGATGAAGATGAAGATTGTGTTATATTTCTTTAGTACCCATTATTTATTTTTAATTATTTGAATAATAAGAAAATATGTAAAAAAGAAAATAAAGGGGCAAAATAGACATTTCAACTTTTTTGGACCAAATTAACAGAAAATTCATGATTTTAGACCTTCAATTTGGATACTACAACACTTTTTACCAAACAAAAATGACTAATTTACGGATTTGTCTAAAATTAATAATTAATAATATTGAATATGTAACAGCATCACTTTGCTAGAATTATGACAAAATTGCAAAAATGGTCACTGTGGTTGGCAAATTTATGTGCTTTTGGTCCAAAACGAAATGTTGGTGCACCACGGTCCAAAATTGGATCTTTCTATTGTTTTTGGTCCCTATCTACTTAAAAAGACCATTATGCCCTTATAATTTGTCTTTTCCATTTTTTATTATCAGTTTTTATTAACCCCCTCCCCACCATACTCATTTTCCCTTCCCGTTCAAACCCTAGCCCATTCCCAAATTACAAAAAATTGGTTGTCGTCTACAACCTTGATCGAAGAACCTCCACAGTCAACGGTGCATCTACACTCATCTTCCACCATCGACAATCTCCCCCACCGCCTCCCCCTCCCTCCTTTAACATGTCGGCGCCTTCTTGATGGGGGAATTGATTTCTAGAACAATTTTCAATTTTTGGATTTGAGGGGGGCAATTTTTGGAACTTAAAACATTTTAAAAGATTTGCAGGCTTTGATATTGGTTGCAGGTTGCAGGTTTGTTCTTGATTTTGATTTGGTATGGTTTGGTGTTGAATTTCAGTTTGATTTGAGGATAAAATTTTGTGGTTTTTGGAGATGAAACGTGAAAAGTGGTATAAGATGGTGTTTGTGGGTAGAGGTTGATCGAAGATGGTTGCTGATGAGAAGAGGTTGAAACACACACATACACACATTATCCCTACTACGTCCTCCCGTTCTTAAACAACAATGAAGAAATCGAGCATCAATAGAGAACGTTCTTAAATTGCTGAAATCCTATAAGTTCTTGAAGTGCTTCGATGTATTCCATATTCAATCTATTTTTTTTCACTTTTCCGATCTGCAGTTTTCTAGTTATTGTGCTTTGATGTTCACATCGAGGAGACGAAATTAAACAGATATTGGTGGTGTTGACGGGTGGTAGTTGTGTTGATCAGTGGTGGTGGTGGTGGTGATCGGAATGTGAAAGCTGGCTTTGGCGAGGAGTCACCGATAGCTTCTGTGGTGGAGATGGAGGAAGATATGGTGACGACAATTGATTGAAGATTTTGAGGTGGTAATGGTTGACGATGGTGGATTGAAGTCCGGTGGTGGGTCTTTACGAGAGAGAGAGAGAGAGAGAGAGAGAGAGAGAGAGAGAGAGAGAGAGAGAGAGAGAGAGAGAGAGAGAGAGAGAGAGAGGTGGTGGGCTGTTGGCTTAAGAGTGGGGTGGGTTTTTTTAATTAAAATAATAAGAAATTAATTAAAAGAAATTAAAAAAGAATCAGTTAAGGGTAGAATTGTCATTTTAAGTAGGGTATGGACCAAAACTACGAGAAAATGATAACCATAAGGACCAAAACCACACAAGGTATCTAAAATTGGACTAGTGGTGCACCAATATTTCGTTTTGGACAAAAAACACATAAATTTTCCAACCATAGGGACCATTTTTGCAATTTTGTCCTAGAATTATTTTAAACAACGGGACGTCCACGTCGTTTTAGTTAGTGGGCTGTGAGTTGTGAATTCTATGACCTTATATTCACCCTCTCTCGTTGACTCTCTCTCTCTCTCTCTCTCTCTCTCTCTCTCTCTCACACACACCGTTGAAAATGGCCGACGCTTTAGTTTCTGTTGCTGCCGAGGCGATCCTGAAAAAGGTAGCATCCATAGCTGCCAACGAAATCGCCCTTGCTTGGGGTTACAAAGAGAAATTGTACACACTTGAAGGGACCTTGAAGATGATACGTGCCAAGTTACAGGATGCCGAGAATCAGAAAGGTCAAAAACATAGTGTGATGGAGTGGCTGAAACAGCTAAAAGATGTGGTTGGTGAAGCTGATGATGTGTTGGATGAGTTTCACTACGAAATGCTTAGGCGTGAGGTAAAGAAGCGAGATCGGGTGGGAACAAAGGTACCCTCTCTCCCAAGCTTGAAAAATCTTTTATTTCGTAGCGAAATGGGTCATAAAATCAAAAACATTAATGAAAATTTGTCTCAAATCAATAAGGATGCTAATGAGTTGGGACTACAAAATGAACAGCCTGGCCCTGTTGTTCATTATCGTCCATACCCGGAGACAATTCCAAATTTAGGCGAAATCAAAATTTTTGGGAGGGAGGAGGATGAAAAGCGCATCATACACCTTTTAACCGAGTCAAGAAAAGAAGAAAAACTTACGATTGTTCCTATTGTGGGAATGGGCGGGATAGGGAAGACCACTTTGGCTAAGTCCGTCTTCAATAATCCAAAAATCCAGCAACATTTTGATGTGAAAGCTTGGTTGTGTGTGTCTGTTAAGGTTGACATCAACACACTTCTGGCAAAGATCTATGAATCTGTTGTAGGAGAGAAACCTAAGTCGGAAACAATGGCCAATTTAGTTCGAGATCTTGAAAAGTTGTTGGAAGCAAAAAGATATTTACTAGTCCTTGATGACGTTTGGGATGAAGAGAGATTATATTGGGAAGATTTTAGGAGTGTTATGATAAATGTGAAGTCCCAAATTGGAAGTAGCATTCTTGTCACTACCAGGAAACTTGACATCGGAACAAAGGCTATGGCGATGGATTCATGTCCTTTAAAAGGTCTTTCTAATAATCATTGTTGGTACATCTTTAAAGAGAGAGCCTTTCTAGAAGGACAATCACCACAATCTGAATTGGAGGAGATAGGGCGTGATATTGTCAAAAAGTGTGGTGGTTTGCCTTTGCTATTAAATGTAATAGGAGGAATGTTGCAAAATTACAGTGACCCTGAGAAATGGTTGGCCATCAAAAATAGCAAAGTTTGGGATCTAGAAGATGAAAGGGAGAGAGTTCAAAAAAGTTTGGAACTGAGCTTTGATAATCTTCCCAATTCTATGGCCAAGCAATGCTTCACATATTGTTCCATCTTTGAGAAAGACACACTCGTGGAAAGGGAAGAACTGGTTCAACTTTGGATGGCTTTAGGATTGGTTCAAGCGGATGAAGAAAGAAACAAGGAGATGGAGGATGTGGGGAATGATATTATTCAAATTTTGGTCAGCAATTCGTTGTTCCAAGATGTTAAAAAGGATGAGTATGGTCACATCATCAATTATTGTAGCATGCATGATCTGGTGCATGATCTTTCATTATCACTTTCGAAACATGAAAGCTTATTTGTGGTGGATGCGACAAATGATGACATTGCATGTATCCCTCAGGTTAAACATCTTGCTTTTTACGAAGAAGAGAACGAGGATGATGAATTCAATGCCAAGGTTTCTATGTTCATTGAAAGGAATACAATGGCTAGAAGTTTGCATACATTGTTCGTCAACGGTGAAGTTGAGAAGAAGTTTTCATTTCAACGATTAAAGTGCATACGCATCCTAAAACTCAACGGATATGGTATTAAGAAGTTAGACGATTCAATTGGAGGGTTGGTGCATCTCAGGTATCTTAAATTGTCATCTACGCCTATCCGTGTTCTTCCTGAATCGATTGGTAAATTATACCACTTGCAAACTCTGAAGTTGCAAAATTGCTATCATCTTAACAAGTTTCCAGAATCCATGAGAAATTTGATAAGCCTAAGATTTTGTAAATCTGAACAAAGCATTCCCAACAATATCGTGGGACAATTGACTTCTCTTCGAACATTAATGCCTAATTTCTTGGGCATGCTTAGAAATGATGGACACGGTATTAAAGAGCTAAGCCGTTTAAAACACCTCAGTGGAAAGCTCTGTATTTCCAATCTAGAAAATATTAGTAGCAAACAGGATGCAGTCATGGCAGATTTATCTGGAAAAAAAAATTTGAACGAGATTGAATTTAATTGGAGTACAAATTTTGGAGTTGACCACAGAAACGACAAGGAAGTATTGGGAGGCTTGCAACCCCCTGGAGGTGTGAAAATATTGAGAATTAGAAGATTTTCTGGTGATAATTTTCCGGAATGGGTAATGAAGATGGCAATCAATATCCATGGGAAAGAGACTCCCCTTGACAAGCTGGTGGAGATCACATTATCTGGATGTTGGAGCTGCCTCTCTCTTCCAACGTTTGAGCACCTACCACATCTTCGGGATCTTAAGTTGGAGAAAATGGACAGCTTGACATGTTTAAGGAGTTCCAATGTTACTGGATCAACGAAGCCTTTGTCTCCATCTTTGCGATCGCTCCGACTATATAATATGAAAAGATTGGAAAAGTGGATAGATGGAGCACCCAACAGCTCAAAAATGATATCGCCTGTCCTCCGGGGCTTGGTCATTCGTCATTGCCCAAAGATTATTCTCTTAGATGAATGTCATCCCCATCCTCTTGTTTCCTTAGAGATATTGGGCTGCAATGGTCTGGTGTCCATTAAGAGCATACAAGGCCTCACATCTCTTGAATCTTTAGAAATTTCCTATTGCCAGAGTCTTTTAGAAATATCCAATTTGCCCAAACAGTGTCATTCTTTGAAGACTTTGCAAATTACCGATTGCTACAAACTGACTTCCCTACCTCATGAAATGTTTGACTGTTTTGCCTTCTTAAATGATTTGACACTTGGTCCGTTCTCGAAGGAGGTCGATTCTTTCCCGAGTCTCCAAGGCATCCAGAAGTTAAGGAACCACCTTCACTCTATACGATTAATAGGCTGGGATCATTGGGACTCAATGCCAAAAGAAATACAACACCTCACTTCACTCACTTCACTGACTGTGTTGACCATAAGTGGATTTGGAATGCGAGAACTGCCCATGTGGTCATCTATCCGACATTTGAGGTTGCAAAGGGCTAAATAAAGAAACAATTAGACGGGGAGGATCGCGGGAAGCAACTCATGTCACACTAAATTATGGAGAATGTTAATTAATTAGTTATTTGATGTGTTGGTGCATACATATATTTTGGATCGCTCATTCCTCCGCTTGCTCAATAATATACTCTCTTCTCACTTTCTTGTTTAAGTATAAGCCACAAGTACAAAAGATGTCTAGAACTGAAATCCAAACATTTTATAATTTGATACTTAATATCCCAAAATTCTTCTCACTTATAACTTACAGCTACCATTGACTTTGAATCGCAATTGATCAACAAATTTTGCAAATTTTAGCTGTGCTTAATATTCTGTCATAATTCATCATTTATCTAATTCATTGCAAGATGGCTCTCGTCCATTGCAACTGATTTGTACTATATAATTTGCTGTTACCCTGTCATGCAATCTTAACAATGATTAAATGTCCATTTTATTTGTGTTATTAACTTGGAAAGGTTTCTGCAAGTTAATTAATGCAGCTTTTACTTTTAGTAGTTGTATTGGTCATAAAGCTAAAGTTCAAGGACTGGCAGTTAATCTAAAGAACTTGAGGGCTACAGAATAAAGTGCAGGGGCTGATCCTATCATGTGCTAAAAGTTGGAGGTGGCTGAGGATAACATAAGTTATTAATAGTTCGAATAATACAAATTAAATTCAAATCCAGTTTGAACCAACTAATCGATTAGATCGGTTTTTACAATTCAGTTTTCAAAAGGCATGACATTTAAAAGAGCATCACATAAATCTCCATATCATTTTAATAACAAGAAACAAATTGTGTTTGGCTAAATCAAATCCGGATGATCCATGTTTTACTACGATAAAATCTACACAAGTCGTTAATCATTCATTCAATAAAATTTCCCAAAAACACACTCTCATTACAAAACAGATATATACAAAAAAAAAACTAATACAATCAACAAATAAATTGTAAACTTGAAAAAAAAATACAAAAATCTACATGTGGTGATCCATACCAACACCAAGAATCAACTGTGCAAGATGAGTCAAATATGGTTCTGCTCAATATTGGCCTTAAACTCTCCAACTCACTACTAAACTCCCTCTCAAATTTCCTGCCAAAAATCACTCCACTCCATCACACATACATACATACATACACATACATACATACATAGAAAGAAAAAGAGAAATATGGGGGTATAGTTTTAAGATCTTACAGGACACATTTGATGACTGTAGACTCGTCTGTGGGTGAATTTGGTTTTTTGGAAGACTTTCTTGGCTTTAAAACCTTTAGATTTTCCAAGGAAGATGAATGCAAATCATCAATGGAACTGTTTGAATCGGGAGCTTCAATGGAGCTCATTAGCCACTGAGTTGCAGAAGCATACTGAAGGCATACAAGTTTTAGTTTCTCAAATTTCTGCATTCCACCCAAAAACTTATTATTAGAACAAATTCACAAACACAAACCTTGTATATAAATTATGACTATTTCTTTTTTACTTAATGGAGACATGACTTCGGGCACCATTAAGTCATGTATTGGTAAAGTGTCTAAATAGATAATGATGTCTGTCTGACTAAATTACCATTTTACCCTTACATTCCGAAAAAATTCAGAATATTCGCCAGTTTTTAAAATGAAAGAGTACTTACCTCGTTAATGTTAGGAATCGGACCGGGTACATGCAGCGGAAACACTATCACACACACAAACACACGAAGGAAATAAAGCAAGAAGGAACACAAGGATTTTACGTGGTTCGGATTCGGTGTAAATCCTACGTCCACGGGCTGCAACTAGATTTTCTTATTAACTCAATAAGATTACAATTTATAACTCTACAAGTTATATTTGATGCACACATACAAAGGGTTACATCGCACACACACACACACACATATATATATATATATATATATATATATATATATATATATATATATATATATATATATATATATATATATATATATATATTATATATATATATATATATATATATATATAGGAGAGAGAGCCGTACTTTCTTTTGTTTACACAAATTGCCGTCCAAAATTTTCCTTCAATTCACATATTGTGAATATAATATTGCGGCCGTTCATTACCGACCATGCAAAAAATGCGTCCAATAATAAACAATTGATTTGCCGTACCTCCATTCAATATTAAACAATTGAATTGTTTAATATTTTTCAAGTTACATTTATGGCCCTTAAACTCTTAGGAACTTGTCAATTTGTTCAAGACTCCATAAATCTTAACAATCTCCCACTTGGAGGCTTGAACAACTTTAGCTTTTCTCCGCCATTCAACTCTCAATTACTCCAGTAATCTTAAAAAACAACCAAGTCCTTTTAGGCTTCCAGTTCCAATGAACAAGCTAAAACTTAGTCTGATTTCTCTAGTTGCAGCCGCCCCTCATCATCAATTACTAGAAAGGGCCAGTTGAAGCTCCCACTAGCTCCAACTCAGCCATGGCTAATCCCGCCACCGACTCATCCTCTGTCTCAACCGGTTTGGACACTCCACCGGATCCAGAGATACACCGAGGACCACTAACACTCTCCAAACATAGCAAACATCCAACAGGAGAGAAATTTTCAGTGTTAGTCTTCAAAACCCAACGACTCTTTGTAACTGTACCCGGAACACGTCCCGTGCTCCCACTGTCATAGAATCTCCTGACTGGTTTAGACTTTCCGACTCGTTCAGCTAACATCCCCTTGGCTCCAGAATTCATGTTTGCAAAATGAACTCTCTTAGCCGTAGATTTAGCGAACCAGATTTTGTTTTGCTTAATCGGGATGGTCATACTTCCCTCAGCAGGTACCTCAACCATATACAATGACCCACGCTTCAAACCTTGAGCAATCACCGAATTACCATTGACCACCATCCATTTACCACCACCAAACCTTACTTCCAGTCCTTGTTTATCCAGCTGACCAACAGAAATCAATTTCTTCTTCAGCTCCGGAATCACCCTGACATTTTTCAGGTTCCATGTAGTTCCCAATGAAGTAACCAAATCAATATCTCCCATGCCCGTTACCTGAAGCATCTCGTCATTTGCCAAACGTACCTTTCCAAAATCTCCTTCTTTCAAATTCACCATCGTTTCCCCGTTGTCCATGGCGTGAAACGAAGCCCCTGAATTCATGACCCAAGAGTCTACAGAACTTTCCATACTGAGTATCAATGCATCATCCTCAGACACACTCTCAGCACCAGCAATGTTCAATTCTTTCTTTGGACATTGACTCTTAACATGTCCCACCTCCTGGCAGTTCCAGCACTTCACATTCTTCCTAGTTCTAGATGAACTTCTTCCCCGACTCCCACTGCTCCCACTATTCCTGCTATTCCCTCTACCTCTTCCGACATTTAATAAATCAGAAGAGGAAGATCCACCTTGATTCTTGCGTCTGATATCCTAGCCTAGAACCAAATCTCAAACCCCTTCAAAAGTCATACCACTGGTCCCCACGGAACTCGTAACAGCAGTAACTGTTCCGAACCAGCTATCAGGTAGAGAAGCTAGTAGCAGTGATGCTTGAGTCTCGTTATCAAATTTAATTCCCATAGATGATAATCTGGACAGAATTGAATTTAGATTGTTAATGTGAACCGTAACTGAGCATTCCTCATTCATCCTTGTAGTGAACAACTCCTTCATCAAGAACACCTTGTTAGCCGCCGATGGTTTCTCATACATATTTGACAGAGCCTCCATCATACCACGTGCCGTGGTTTCATTCATGATGTTGAAAGCAACGCTCTTCGTCAATGACAATGTAATAACCGCCTTGGCTTTCTTGTCCTTTGAGTTCCACGCATCTTCAGCAGCTTTTTCCATTTTCTCCGGTTTGTTTCCGAGTACCATGTCCAAATCTTTCTGACATAGCAATGCTTCTAATTGCATTTTCCACCAGCTAAAGTCAGAACCGTTGAACTTCTCGATTACAATCTTGTCTTCAGCCATTATGACAAACAAGATACAAATCAGGCACACTCGTGTGTGATAAAAAAAATGATCGTACCCTCCAAACCTCGCTAACCAGGCTCTGATACCAGTTGTTAAGAATCGGACCGGGTACATGCAGCGGAAACACTATCACACACACAAACACACGAAGGAAATAAAGCAAGAAGGAACACAAGGATTTTACGTGGTTCGGATTCGGTGTAAATCCTACGTCCACGGGCTGCAACTAGATTTTCTTATTAACTCAATAAGATTACAATTTATAACTCTACAAGTTATATTTGATGCACACATACAAAGGGTTACATCGCACACATATATATATATATATATATATATATATATATATATATATATAAATATATATATATATATATATATATATATATATATATATATATATATATATATATATATATATATAGGAGAGAGAGCCGTACTTTCTTTTGTTTACACAAATTGCCGTCCAAAATTTTCCTTCAATTCACATATTGTGAATATAATATTGCGGCCGTCCATTACCGACCATGCAAAAAATGCGTCCAATAATAAACAATTGATTTGCCGTACCTCCATTCAATATTAAACAATTGAATTGTTTAATATTTTTCAAGTTACATTTATGGCCCTTGAACTCTTAGGAACTTGTCAATTTGTTCAAGACTCCATAAATCTTAACAGTTAACCTCATTAAGTCAAAACGAAACATCCCCTTAATGTGTAAATTACATACTTACATATCAATGTTTGCCGGTTCCAAAAAAAAACTTACACATCAATGTTTCTTTTTAACCTAACTTTTGACGAGTTTGATCTCATTTAATTTTTCCTTCCATTTCCCAAGTGTGTATAGTTTTCTCAAATATTTTTTAAACATCATTTATCCAGACACAACTTAAAAAAGAAATAATGCTTAATGAAAATTGTATTATATTTGCATACTATTCTATTCCTCTATTTTTCATATTGTATTTTGAAATTCAGATGTACCAATTTCAGAGCATTATGAATAAGGAATGATGAAATTCTTCAGGAGGATTGGTGAAAGAAGTGAACATTCCTTGAGGCACTTCTCCATGAAAAAGTCATGATATTGAATCACCTAATTTCAT